GTATGTCTCTTCCATGAAATCATTAATTCTTCGAGTTCATATATTGGGTAAAGCTGCAAATCTCCTCCTCGAACGGCGCCCACTCGCCGGCCGCTTTTCGGGGAGCTCGGTTGTGTCTGGGCTTCGCTGATTTTGCTATATGACGTCGCCTTGTGGGAGACAGCCGAGCTTGTGCTCTGGATGCTGTCCGTACGCGACCCATCATACCTTGCTGTATCCTCAGGTATTCGATGATATTCATAAGCGATTGAGAACGTTAAGTGGGATATCGGGGAAGCAGGCTGCAACACAATGTGATCAAAATCGCGAAAACGGGAAGCCATCCGCTATTTACGTTGTGATGCGCTCAAATACAAGGGGCAAAAGCGGCCAGCCTTGCGGGCAATGCAGCAGGCGGCCTCAGTCATAACTGAGGGATCAGTGGAGCCGGCTTTATCTCGAACTTGAAAGACTTCCGAGCATTTGCCTCTACTATGGAGTGGATGGGAAAGAATAGAAGAAGAGGGGGGGCAGATGACCCTACCTATGCGGGCACCAGGCTGTCGCTGCCAGCCAGCCGTCCACATGCACGCATGCGAGCCACCGCCGAATTCCAAGAGTTCTTGACAGAGAGGGTGTGCCGGACTGCAGGAAGATGCAGAGAGTGGTGTCGTCGCCGGCTCTGGGAGAGCCCAACGCTGCCCAAGACCCAGCCCAGGCTGACGTGGTAATTGGAAGTGGTATGCTGTGGTAGAACTGTCATTCGTGTCAATTGGAATTCCAATACAAAGGGTTCCATTGGCAAATCCAGTGATAATTCGAAAAACTCTTCGCTTGGACGAAGCGCTTAGCTTGGGACGACACGGAGACGATGGACTACAAAAGCTCATACCGACTCCGTCAAGCATGATGCTTAGGTAGTGTCCATAATTCACCCTGTACGTACGCACCATTTTCTCTACGAGGTCTCAGTTCAAATCGTTTCCGTCAATATGGGAGTTCACCATGCAAATCACGGACCGTTCGGCATGGTCAATCTGGACCACTGCCCCGACGACGGTGACGCCGAAGCACAGATCCCCAGCCACGATTCGTGCCATGATTATGACGGGCAAGCGACCAAACATGCAGCCTCACAAATATCAGAGTGGACAGGCGACCATCTGCCAGAACCAGCAGTGACCTATCCCAAGCGAAGAACAAAGCCCGAGCCCGTACGGTACTGGCTTGATGACATTACACGGGGATCTACCGGTCGTGGTGATTGTAGCAAAAACGTCGAAGGAATGGAAGCGACCTGGGAGCCCAATCAGGCTGTGCTGGGCACGTCAGCCAGGGCGAGCAGTCACTGGAGCAACGCGGACAACCTACAGTCGTTCAAGAAAGCCCAACAACTCGAACACCGAAAGACGAGTAGAGAGCAATCGGACAGTGTACCGAATGCCAGGAACTTTGGACCCACGTCGGGGGGTCCCAAGTCAAAGTGGCGATCGCCTTGAGCCTCATGTGGGGTGGGAAGAAGGGGGGCGGGGGACAGGGTGCTGGGGATTGTTCTACTTTGACTTCCGTCTCGCTTTGGAATTGTTATCTACCTGATTTTCGTAGCCCATAGGGGATCTGTCAAGGAGCTGTATGCTCTGTTGAGCTTCTCTAGTCGTATCTCAAGGTGAAGTGAATGGTGAATGTCGGTCATGAGAGGAGGGTAGTCTTGTGTAAGCCAAGATGCTGCGGCTTGCTGCGACTCGCCGCTTATGAAAGGAGGCCCCTACAATGGCGGTCTGATTTACGGTGTGGGCTGAAAGCCCCTTTGGAAAGCAACTGGTGTCGGGGATTTACTTGCGTAGATAATGATTCAAATAAACAAAGTGCTTGCTTACGATGACAAAACAGTAATCAATCTAGTCGAACTGATGTGCTCAAAAGGGGGTATCAGCGCAAGGTGAAGAGCGAATAAGCGATAGAATCCTGGAGGCCACCCCCCCCTCCCCCTTCTCCCCCACCACGATGCGCCGCATCAAAAACAGAGTGCACAGGAAATGAGGTGAAAATGAACAGCCGTCAACGCAACTCGCCGGTTTGCGATGAAATGACACACATACACGCCCAACAACAGTGCTTACTAAGCTTCAGCCATGAGCTGCTCGCCCTCGTCCAGAGTGTCCATCACCTTCTTCAGATTCCCGATCAGGCTGCGGCCCAGACCAACCAGCAGCAGTTTCTCTGCATTGGCCGGCAGTCCGAGGTACGTGGGCGGCTCGCGCTCGGGAAGTTTGTGGATCCAGGCTGTGAACTCAGGTAGAGACGTGCCGGATGGGACAACCAGACTGCCTTCCTCAGAACCATCAGGCCCCTCAACAAGTTTGTGCCCAATGTCATATGCTGCAGGCGTGAGGAATGACTCGACGAGGCTGTTGAGCTGGCGGAAGTCGCCTTCGTCGTCGATCTTGCCGCCGTAAGTCTCAGTAACGAGGTAGCGAATCATGTCCCACGGAATGCTTTGAGGCGCAATGTTCGTGCGAGTCCCGGCGGCCTGTTCGATCCACGTGTCAATGATGAATGCCGAGCATTCGTACTGTGAACCTGTTAGCGCCTTCATTCACGATGTTTCAGAGAGGGTAGGCTTACATCGCTGTCATTGAACTCCCAGAAACCCTTCCAACCGAGGTTGGGAGCCATAGCGCCGGACGCTTCCTGGACAACGGCGTGGAGGAAAGCGAGCAAAAGGTAAAGCCTGGTACGTTCCACAGGGCTCTTTGCAGACCGTGTTGAGAGCGAGGACATCGAGTCTTTCATATTGGCCCTTACGCCAGCAGGCTGCTCGTACATGAGGACCCGAGAAGCGCGCAGGAGGTTGACGGGAATCTTGGGACTCGACTCCATCGAGAGGAACAGCCGGAAGTCCGAGTGGGGGTTGAGAGAATCCATGCGTTTCTCCAGACTTTGAAGCCAAGACGGCGCGAGGTGAACGTTTTTGACCAAGACCCACGAGCCTGTTTGTGCGGCGGTGGTGACGGCCTTGTCAGCGCTGGCGAGACCTTCATTGGAACCCATGGCAATGTTGGTGCAGTTGACTCGCATTCTCTCAACCAAGTTGTCGACCTTGTAGCTGGCATCGAAGCCAGGACTAGAGACAAGGGCGACAGGTCTGGTGGCAGGCACCTGGGTGACAGTCTCCTTAAGATCCTCCACAATATCGAAGAGGTCAGAGCCAAATACGAGCGTCACGAAGCGCTCTGCAGCAGGAACGAAACGGTCAAGGCGGAAAAGCTTAACCAGCAGAAGAGATAGCAGTGCTTGGTCATTTGCCGATGTGTTGTCGTCCCAGATCTGGGGAACAAAGTTCTCTGCAAGTTCTTCGGTGAGGAAAGTGTCCCAGTCAGTAGAGGCGGCCCTGCCTAGCTTGTCCTTGAGCGCGCTGAAGTGGCCCGCTCTGGCAAAGGCCTCGTCTCGGGCATCTGGCTCGGTGGAGAGATCCTTGCCCTCCACACGCTTGTCTAGGATGACGTCGATGAGCCCCTTGTCCATAGGGTATGGCGAGGCCTGTGCAAGCAGCATGGCTAAGGTTATACGATCGCGTTGGAGCAGACCCAGAGCTGTTCGCTTGAAGGCAGAGACGAACAGGTCCTTGACGATGATATCCCGGCGGACATTATGGTCCGTCTCATTAGCCAAGTTCGGATTACCTCGCAGGACAGAGTGGAAAATGTCGAGGAAGTACTGAAGCGAGAATTGGTAGAAGTGGTTGAGGTAGTGCAGCTGCTCCAGCACGGCGAAGACAGTGCTGCAGGAACGAGCAATAATGCTGTACTGTTGCGTGATCTCGTCTACCTCTGCCATGACACCCTCAGTACTGCTGATCTTTGCCGAGATCTCCGCCGCCTCTGTCTTGAGGGTCTCCAGAGTCTCAATGACGTTATCGTCATCAAGGATGTTGCCACGAGACTCGTTGAGGGCTTGGAGGAGGCGCTTCTCAAGCTGGCGCAGGTGCACCGTGAACTCTCCCTGCAGCTTGATGAGATTTGATCGTCGTTCGTCCACATCTGGGCCGCTCGGATTTGAGAACCTCGTTCAGGGACTGTGTCTGAAGACTGCTCTGCGTCACCGTGAAGTTGACAAATGTGGTTCGACTGCAGATATCGGGGGGGAAGGTTGCGGACGGATCGCGCGTGGAGAGATAGATCTTGAAAGCAGGCGAGAAATCGATCTGTTGTTTGCCGAGCTGGATGAGAACACGCCCGCCAGTCTTTTGGTACTCTTTGTTGAGGACTTGGTTCAAGATAGGGTCGAGGACTCCGCGTCCTGGATCAGGATTGGGTTACCGAATCTGAGAGAGCTCTCAAGCTGCTTAGTGAAGGAATCGTCAAGGAAGCTAGTGACAGTCAAGCGACGATCCTTGCTCTCTTTCTGGAGGAACTCTGTGACTCTCCCAGATGGATCGATGATGAGAGGGTAGCGGTTGAAGCGCTTCAGGATGATGGCATTCTCGGTGCAGAGGTCGTCCACGGGGAGACTGTTCTCTTGCCAGCCGAGCCGCTCATCAGCAGTGGAAAGATACTCGGTCACAGGATTGTGTTGCTTGTACTGGACTCCGGAAAGATGAAGCTGGTGCAGCCAGTCTTCCATCATTGACTTTCGGAAGGTTTGATCATAAAGACCGCTGTAAGCGAGGAAAGCCGCGGCGACCAGGACGTCGCCAACGAGGGTGCTGATTTGCGTCTCGAAAGACTTGCTTCCTTCCTCCCAGCGAACTCTCTCTGATGATAGACTGTCAAGGAGCCTGACACTCCTGTCGACCTTGAATTGTACTCGCTCCATCTCGGATTTGATGGCTTGCGTCTCGCTGATGAGCGCCGCGTACTCGGTCTTGTAGGTCGCAATGCTTGATTCAAGGGCATTGATGGTATTTTCCACGGCCTTGGCTTCAGCCTTCGTTTGTAGAGCCTGCTCTTCGAGCTGCTCTACCTCATTCCTCAGAGGGCCGACACGATCAAGAATCTCTGAGTAAGTGACCTGCGCCTCCACCCATTGGACTAGCGGACCACAGGCCTTACTGGCGCGGTTAACCTTGTCAAACGTGAACTCGGGGTTCGACAGAAATTCGTTTCGCATCTTGACGCGCAGAGGCTTGGTCATCTTCTCCTCGTTGTTGAAGTTGACGATGCTAGCAATGAAGTCGTCCTTGCGCACGATCGCTTGGATGTTCTTCCACTCGTTGACCTTATGACCCAGCAATGTGCAGACAGGTG